TCTTCCGATCTCCCCAAAACCCCAAAACCCCAAAACCCCTTAATGCTTATATAAACTAGCAAATGAATTTTGTTACAATGCATTAAAATATTTGAAATAAAAATACTAGCATTATGCTTCAAATTCAATTAAAAATCTCACTTCTTTTCAGCAATAATTATCATTATTTCAAAACAAACAGGATCAAGTACATTTTCTCCCATTAAGTTGTCAAATAATTCTTTGGCATCTTGCTTTATCTAACATCTTTAATCTTCATTTAGCTTAGAAAGAGCAATTACTGAGTTTGGAAATTCAAAGAAGGTCTAGTAATAATCTTCAAAATCTTTGTATGGAATGTTCATGGGCTCATACCATATTTTAATATTTGAAAATCCTAATTCTGTCATTTACTTTTTCATTCCAGCTGGATCTTGACCCAAATGATGATTAGTTCTAGCTGGTTTTTCCTTTGGTCCTACTCCATACTTATCTAATAAACCTTCAAGGATTCCATAGTTATTATTGTGACCTTCTCTTCCCCAAACAGAGAAACCGAATTTAGATCCAGATTTGCAAACTCTGAGTGCTTCTTTTAACTAGTTGAGATGATTATCCACTAGCTAAAGTGAAAGATTTGCAATGTAGCAATCAAAAGATTCATCCTTGAATGGAAGGGATTCATTGTTCGCTTGACTCCCAAATACAATTCTATCACTTTCATTTTCAGTATGCTTCTTAATTTCTTCTTCAATATCAAAAGTATGATCTCCTAAAGGCAGTAATGGTTCTGTAGTGATGTGATACTTATTACCAGCTACATCTGTATATCCAGAACTTAATTCTTTGTCATCAAACTTAGACTATACTAACTCCATCATCTTACTACTAATATCACCAATCACTAGAGCTCCGCCCTTTTGAAGCATAGTCTTGGCAAGCATCAAAGATTAATATCCTCCTCCGCATGCAACTTCTAGTATCCGTTTACATTTGAATGCATTAGTCTGAGTACTAAGAGTCATAAATGGTTGAGTAGCCATTCTTTGAATCTTCCTGTCATAAAGTGCAGAAAAGTTATCCCAAATTTTAGTTTTTTCCTCCTAAGCTTTTGTATTTATTTCTATTGGAGCAGATTAGACAATATCTTTGCTTTCCATATCTATTAAATCTTATTATATCTATTTATTAATAACCACTTGATATAAGTGCTGTGGGGTTTTGGGGTTTTGGGGAGATCGGAAGAGC